TTCCCTGTTTCAGTCATGTCTGACTCTAGGGGGCAGTGTTCATCTTCATTTCATAGCCAAAGGATCCAGCGTTGTCTGTAGTCATGTGGCCAGCATGATTATAATTCTAAGGCGCACAGAACACCATTACCTTGCCCCCGATGAGATACCAATTTGTCTACTAGCATTTGCATGCTTTAGAATTGCTAAGTTAGCAGGAAATGGGGTAAGATGGAAGCTCACCCTGTCACCCTGTACTTGTGTCTTGAACTGCCAATCTTTCAGTCAAGAAGCCCAGCTTCTTTACCGGTAGGCCACTGCACACCCCGCTACATTAATGTTTACAATATGAAAAATATGATTTTAGGTTTTGCTATAAACATAAATATAATAATGGAAACCTGCCAGAATGGTTTTCATGACTAGATTATAGCAACTAAAAGACACAATTTGTTCAGAAGGAACAGAAACAATAGAAATAGAGAAGGCTTTGCACTATATGTTAAAAATATCTTAGGAATCCAAATTAATAAACTTGATAAAACTATAAAGTCATCTGAGCAGTGGTTCACGTGGTAAGACTCTGGGTCTGTGCACCGCTGAGGTCGGTGGCTCGATTTCTGTGAGTGAATAAACTATGTAGGGACAAGAAAGGAGCCTCCCTCGATTGCCTACCAGCATTCAGGAATCCCACGGGTAAAGATAACACCATCTGAAAAAAATCCTTTCACAGAGGCAGCCAGCCACCTTGATGATCCCTGGCTATCACGTGCCATATGCTAAAAATAAATAAATAAATTGCAACCAAACTTAATAGTACTTAACTAAACTGTGCTATCAAAGGGCATCTAAAAGAGATAAAGAAAAATACTATTGGTATCTACTATTACCGTACTTGCCAGATCCTGAAGATGAAACTCAAATACTTTGGCCATTTAATCAGAAGGAAGGATTCACTGGAGAAGAGCCTAATGCTGGGAAAGATTGAGCACAAAAGAAGAAAGGGATGACAGAGAAAGAGGTGGCTGGATGGAGTCACTGGAGCAGTAAGCGGAAGCTTAAATTGACTCCAGAGGATGGTAGAGGACAGGAAGGCCTGGAGGAATATTGTCCATATTGACTTCGCAACTAACAACATTAGTTGTCTAGTCAACAACAAGATATGGTTGAAATCTTCATAATGCAAATTGTAGATTTTTCAAACAAACATAAAACTGTAGATACAGGAAGCTTTAAGTACAATATCAATTATTGGAAGACTAAGTATCAGCACACTGCTTCCAGGAATCTGTGAACTTTGTTTCTGATAACTTTTTCCTTTAGAAGGAGGAAGGTACAAGAGAATCAGGCAGCCTTAACAACTAACAATACTTGGTTGATTAAGTGGAAATGATAAGCAAAAGCATATCTTATACTTCAAGAAAGCAGATTTTAATAAACTCAAGAGCATTGCTAAACAGAAGACCTTGAGAAAAGAAACTAAGGGAAACCCGGCTTAAGGTTTCAGAGTTTCTAAATAAGAGATGCTAAAATACAACTGCAAACAATGTGGTAAAAGTGGGGATAGCAGAAACAGATAAACACAGAGAGTGTTTATGAAAATCTGAAACAAATGCAATAAGAGATCGATCAACAAGAAAAAATTCAAAGGTAACTTGGAATTTCCTGGTCCTAAGATCTCTACTGTTCAATATTTTCATGAATGAGTTGTACGAAAAGTTAAAAGGAAGCTTATGGGATTTAGAAATGATATAAAATTGAATGAGATATAGCAGCTAATACTGTAGAAGACAGAAATAAAATTCAAAATTATCTTGATGAGCAATTAGTTGAAAGTACCATAATAGTGATATGTTATAGAGACAAATGCAGAAGTTTAAAAAACAAAACTCAAAATGTAGAATACTTAACCTGACAGTAATATTTGTGAAAAAGATATTGAATAGTAGTGTAGTACAAACTATTACATGAGTATGAGCTAACAGAATGACATGCTAGGAAAAAAAGCAATTGCAGCATGAATATTAGCAGAAGTATAATTTACAAATCAGACATTTTTCCTCTTTTGGTCAGACTTGGGTCCAGTTATGAACATCACCTTCTAAGAAGGATTCAGAAAAAAATGGAACTGATTCAGAGAAGGAAAAGAAGACGTTGCTCACGGCACGACCCAAAAAATCTTATTAAGAAAGATTGAATGGGTGGGTAAACTTAGCCTTCAGAAAATGAGTAAAGACATTAGGACAGCACAACTGTAAATAGGAGAACACTGTAGAAAGGTTATTGCCTATATGCTTTTACTGTTAAGACTTCCAGGAAACACCTGGCAATTACATTTGAAAACAGCATGCCTATAAAGAACACTTTTTGTGATTAATATAACTTTTATGTTCTTAGTATTAACAAGACATTTGTGTAAGCCATCCTTAATGTAATCTCTGCCATGTCAGTCATTATTCCACTATCAATAATAAAAGCAGTCCTGATGGAGATGTCCCATTCTGGAGATGGCTAATACAATAGAAAAGATTTCTCTACCCTGTTTACACAATCTTTTTAATCCATTTTGTTATTAATTTTAATATTTTAACTTTCAGTGCCCAATGTTTTAACCTGTTAATTGTTTTATATTGTTATTTATGGCATTTTAAACCATGCATTTGATAATGAGATGAGCACCATATAAAATTTAATAAATAATGTGAATAATCATATTGTCTAGTATGAAATGTATCAGCACTATCTTAGCAATTTTCATGACTGAAATGACGAATGACTGAAATGAACTCATATTCAACTCATATTTACTTTTTTAGCCTGCCTTTTAATTTTAGGTCCTGCCCTTTGCCCTTTAATTACTACATTGTAGTGAAATATCTATAAACATGCATTATTATATTTATTAATATTTTAAGAAAAGTCTTGGTTATTTCACTATTATTTGGAAAGTGCTTTTTTATTTTAAGATTTTTTTTACATGGATATGAAACACTGATGCTTTGAAAGCACATGCGCGTGCACACACACACAATATCAATACACTCATACACATGATTTTGTAGATAAATCTTAATCTTCTCCATATAAAGAGAATGAAAATGAACCCTTTTGGTTATTGCTAAAATAATTTGTATCTGTACATTATACACCTATGAATGTATTAAATAAGTGATTATTCATCCATCTTTCAAATGATAATTATTTAAGAATGTAATTTAACCTCCCCCTCCCCCCCGCACTCCAATTTCAACTCATATGTTTCTAGGGCAAACTGATCCATAATCGAGAAGCAGCTGAATAGTTTTATTTAATAATTTGTATTTTTAATAATTGGATAGAGGTGGTTATAAGAATAGAAACAAGCACAGAGAACCTATCTGTTGAATTTAAATTTACAATGTGGCAACTGTACATCAAATGCAAATTTCATCAGGCATCAACATAATGCAAATAACAATCTCAGCTAACTTCTTAAGAGAAAAACATATTTTGCTAAAATATTTCTAACATATAATGACAATGAAATTAAAACATACACTTTAATTAAATTTCTTTAAGTTGTAGGCTTAAAATATATTTATACAGTAGTTCTAAAATTACTAAAACATTTTTAGATAACATTAAAGTCAGTTCCTGAATCCTGTTATAAGCAACAGCATTTTAAGAAATTGAGATCTGACATATCTATACCTATATCTTGTACTAATATGTACTATTTTCAAGAAATACATAGAACACGTTTCATACACTTCAACTTGAATATAGACATCTATGGTTAAAACGTAACCCAGTTATATAACATTCCAAATTTACCATTAATTTTGAAACTTGAATCTTTTAAACCTTTAAATGCAAATATCGATAGATATTCCCAAATGGTCTTTACACAAACCAAGTTTATTATTTTTTAGTGCACATAAAACTTCAAAAGTGCTAAGTATCTAACTTGAAACCTCTCATACACTCATTTCTCTGACTATTTTATAGGATCTCTGCTTCGGCTTAAGCTCTGCAAATGGAAGCGAATCACAAATAATGGAACCTCCAATCATTTTAAGAATTCCAACGCTCTGACGGACCTCAATTCTTCACTGTAAATAAAAATTACACCTTTCGGTATTTTCCTTCCTCATTTCCCTCTAGAGGTAGCCACTTTAACTGCGAATGTTTGGAGAGGGAAGGGATTGGGAGGGACAACTCCTGTGGTATCCCCTCAGTCTACTCTTACAAAAGCCTCCAGGTTAAGATTACCTTTGTTGTCATGTCTTTACGGAGAGCACACTGGCTGGCACCCATTAAAAATGAAGTGGTGTTGCCTGATCTCAAGGGAAAGTGTACATCTACTTTGAAAGAGCCAGAGTGGGGGGTCATTTTCCACGTTGCTTAAGAGTGAACACACTAATTGTGGAGCCTGACGAAAGAAGCCGCGCGCGCAGGTAAACAAGCAGGAGCGGAGTTAATGAAGGCGCCGCCACCAGAACGGAGAAGGATATAAACAAAAGAAAAGGCTTCTTAGTTGCCGTTCATCTTTTCTTCTCAGCCCTCCAGGGGCTTCCGTCAAGCAACGCCAAAGGGGTGTCTTAAAGATAGGAACCCGACTCTTTCGGCTTGACCCTCGTCGTTCACACACCCACACAGCCACGCACCCAGCGGGCAATTCCAGGAGGCTGCGTCCAAACGAGCCAGGAGGAAAAGCCGCACCTACCCCCAGGCACCCTCGACTCTTCCCACCCACTCCCCCCGAGGTTTTCACACCTGCCGCCCCAAGGTTTTTTCCAGCTTCGGCCGGTGTGAGCCCGCAGGCGGCAGGGCACCGAGGCCCCTTCGCTCCCACTTCGCGACTCAGACGAAGCGGCGGCGGGGCCCTCTCTTCCCGGCCGGGCTCTGCCCTCTCGCTCTTCGTCTTCGCTTCAGAAGAAGCCGCCCGAGTCTCGCGGGGGGAATAACTTGCTCGGCCGTCCGTTCACCCGCCCGCCCCGAGATAAACCTCAATCCTCGCTTTCCCGCGGGGGCTTATTTACCTCTGGCCGCCTCGACGGGTGCTCGTCTCCATCCCGATCGCGACTCCTGCGGACGATCCGGCTGCGCCCGAAGCGCCCAAGCTCCTTCCCCCGCCCCCATTGTCCTGTTCCCGCCCACCTCCCCTCTCAGTAACTTTCTTCCTCCTGCCTCCAAGCGAAGCACGCGCGCCCGCGGCTGGGAAGGGGCGGGGCGGAGAAACAACCGTCCCGGAGAGGCTCGAGAGGCAGGCGAGCGCGCGCTCGGCGGTGCGGGGGGGGGGGCTGAGGAACAGCTGACTCTCGCGGGGAGGGGTCAGGCCTCCTTCAGACGCCAGAGAGAGGGCGGCTTCCGATTGGAGGGAGAGGGAAAGCGCAAGGAAGGTACGCTGGAAGTGATTGGAAGTGCGGGGTTGGGAGGGCCCTGCCGGAAGAGCCAATTCGGATCTCTGGTACCTGCCCCCCCCCCCCCCCCCCCCCCCCGCGCGCGCCCCCCCCCCCCCCCCGCCCCTCCCGGGGGGGGGTTTCTCCCCCCCCCCCCC